GTGGCTTTGGGTGTTTATACCACAGCCTCAGCTAAACCAATTGCAGTGCTAGAAGCACCAGAGAAAATCTGGTAAAATTTGACTCCAGCTGAGGGCTTTGTGCCTCAGCCAGCCCACTGCCAGCAGGCTGGCTGCAGGAAGATAAAATCAAACTTACTTGCTGAGGAAAGAGGAAAGAGATGGGGAGGCGTCAGGGAAGGAGAAGACAAGGCTAGGGGACAAGAAGGGCTGGGAAGTGAGTCAGTTAAGGGAATGTGAGAAAGCAGCCATTTGAGAATTCATCAGTAAGGGACAGCTTGTACAATATTGTACTGTAGGAACATAGTTTTTGGACTGTTTCCTTCAGCCATGCTTCATGCCCCTTATTATTAATTATTTAACTATTACCTTATTATTAACTATTTATTCATGTTTGTGCTATGTGCTTTTATTTGCATTGTGACTTGGGGAATGGCTTCTTTTGGTACCAGTTCTTGTATTTTCAGACCAGCCAAAACACCCCCACATGAATTGCTTGACCAGTCTCATGTCTCAGATAACTAGTATGGAAGTAGATGATGCACACAGTTCACCATTGCCCCATGGGCTGGAAATCAAATACCTGTGAGTAATGAACATGTTTTCTGGAATAAGCACTGATCTGCAAACAATTTGGGGATAAAAAGGTTGCTGCTGAGAGAGAATTTATTCACAAGAAATAATTCAAACAGCTCTAAGGGGCCAAGACTTAAGATCATAGTCACAGAAAACAAAGGTTGGAAGGGACCTTAGGAGATCACAGCTAGTCCAACCACCTACTCAAAGCAGGACCACCCCAACTATATTATCCTACCCAAGGCCCTGTCTAGCCACGCTCATGTACATGCTACCATGCCAAAATACTTATAAGATTGCTCTCCAAAGCCACTCAAAAATGAGGGTAGATGAAAGGCAACCATCATTGTTGAGAACATGGGCACAAGAGAAAGGAGGAAGAAAAAAATTAGCTTAAGTTGTGGCATGCCTTTGAAGCACAGGTAAAAGTACCATCAAATTAAGGTTCAGCTTCAGAACCAACGAGCTATGGAATGAGGCAACGTCAACTTTCTGAGGATGGAAAACCTGGGATTTTATTGCAAACTGTACAAAGAGAGGCTGGGACTATTGTATGGAAGCAAGTAATAGGATGGTTGTCATCCTAAAGAGTTCCCAAAATGTTTAGATGAGAGTGTCAAGTTTAAGTTTGCACATGGGTTAGCAAGCTGCATGAAAACGAGTGGCATCACTGACGAGATCCGTAGCATTTTTTCATGTGGGTCAAAAGTCACTTCCTTCCTTCGATTCTCCTGGCCAGAACCATTCTGGAAAGATGCCTCTCCCAACTATTCTACAGTGAAAGATTTGAGTGCATTTATTTGTGGTGTGCGCAAAATTGCTACGGCTTTCTCCAGATCATGAAAGGTTGGTTTCCATGGAGAACGTGTAGGAGGAGGGTAGCTGAAGCCACTGTTTTTGCAGTGTAACGTAATTGCCAGCATCACAGCATAAAAGACCAACCCTTCTTCAGCTGGAACACTCACTGAATATTTAAGTATGGAAAAACACAGTTTCAAAATCTGATGAGAAACGAACACCAACAACAAAACCCGTTAAAGCAATTGCAATTACCTTACGCAGCAGCTTCCATATACATGGGTCCAAAACATCCACGTTTACCAGTCAATTAAGTAC